ACCGTTACGGGGAAGTCTGCGAGCACCCCTACGCCGGACTGTCAGAAGCGATGTTAGCGTTCGCGGAGGCCTGTCTGTGAAACGATCGGCATGGGTCTGAAGCTAGCCCTGCTGGAAACCGCGTTTAGGTGGCTGCCGATAAGACAGTACTTTCGGATTTCCATCGTGACGGCGGTAGCCTGCTATCTTCTCAGCCACCTCATAGTAGCCGCCAGGGTTGTAGTCGCCGGAATATGCAAGACGCTGTACGAAATCACGAAGTTCGTGGAACCTCTCGTCCTCAATCACGGTACGAAGAAGAATCTGCGCGAGACCATGTACAAGTTTCAATCCCTGTGGCATACGGTCGACGGTTGCGAGGGATTCTAAACTTGGTATCAGGTCGTAGGTTACGGCTTTCACCGACTCATCGAAAAAAAGGGTTTTGCGACCGTTTCCGATGGTATCGCTCGATCACGTTCACGCGGTACGTCGTCTACTATCCGATCAAGTACTTGGTCTGGCAACCGATTCACAGCGACTGCTCACCGACGTACGAGGACGACGTCTGCTTCGGTTTCCACCTCGACCTCGTGTTCGACTTTGTCAGAAAGCACCTTATCCTGGCGATCGTCGTCTTGCTCAACTGCTGGCCGCTCATCTCGTACGGAATGTCGGTCTTCCGGCGAGCCTTGAAGTCCGTTCACCGGGAGATGGTGTACCAGCTGCACAGGTTGGATCCGGGAAACAGATCCGTCACCCACGGGCGGTTGGGGACGAGATTAAGGCACTTCTTTCACGCAGACTGAACGTCGCCTCTTCGTGATCGTCTTCTTCGAACGCGGCCGACATGCTCTCGTCCTTTTTGTCGATGAACGCCTTCTCGGCCGCCGTACGGTTTGCGGAGTGTATCCTGGCTCCCGCACAAACGGCGGCGAACACGAGAACCGTCACGACGATCGCTACGCTGCATCCGATCATCTCCAGAGTACACGAACGTTTATCCACGTCCGCGGACTTGGCAGTTCTCACGACACCCCACAGGTCCCAATTCAACATCGGAGTGAATTTTCGATTGATCTTCGTGTCTTCGCTTCCGATCGTCTCCAGCAAGGTTGAATCGGAGACGGCGATCGACTCCGAAGTTCTTTCCAGCACCACGGATCCTCCGACTACTCGTTCGACAGTCACCCGGTTCAGACGGATGGTGCCTTCGGAAAGAAGTGGGGACGCCCAAACCACGACATTCGGGGGAGCCTCGACGTGAGTCTCGTTCGAGCCGTTCGTGTAACTCAAACGTTTCAAAGTCACGTTGAACGCCCTGCCAACACCGGTCACGCGCACCGACGAAGAGAGATCGCCTCTCGCTCCGACGTACCCGTCGCAGCGGAACTCGAATCTTTCGACGTGCACGTGGCTGTCGATCAAGAAGACGTTGCATCCGTCCCGTCCGTCGGCAACCGCGATGATTCCCTCCCCGCACATCGGCAGCACGGTCACGTTCGACAGGAAGACGGGTCTCAGATCGTAAGACAGGACGCTCAGCAACGACGACTTCTCGCAAGACGACGGATCTTCCGCCGACGCGTCGTCCGGCACGACCACGAACGGGTCCCTCCCTTTCGAACCGAACTTCAAATCTCCGAGACTTCCTGACTGCTTCCGGCACCGGCCCGGCGAAGCCGATATCAACATCAAAAATATTGCAGTCGTAATAAACATCGTAGCGGTCTTCGTCGTCACTCGATCAAACGCTAATCTTCATAGTGTATAAGTGTGTTTTCGAGGACACCGAGTTAACCGACAATGGACATCTTCGCCCAAAATGAGTTGCGTTTGGCGCTGACGATAGGTCTTGCGGTCGCCGTATTGATCGTGAGCTTTTTCCTGCTGAGCTGCTGCCTTAAAAGGCGCATGGACAATTCAGGAAGCTACCGTCCGGTCGTGAAGGAGGGTCGAAGCTCGTACTACACCAACAGACTGTCCGAAATTCACGCTCGGACTACGCTTGTTTGAAAGTCGATTAAAAAAAATACGAAAAAAAAAATAAAAATTGTCACCTTGCCTCGATCTTTCTATTTTCGCCTGTCACTCGCTCATTCAACGTCAAGTTCGCAAATTTTCACAAACTAAAAAAAAACCCGAAAATTTTTTAGGTATTTTTCCCCTATCATTTATAATTTTTTTTGTCTAAATCTGAAATACATGGGATCGACATCATTCCACTAC